GATGCATCTGATAAGAGCATGACTTTGGGAAAACCACTTACATTGGGAAAAAAGGAAAAGGGTAATCTTTATCAAAAGCTGAAACCAAATCTTGTTTCAAATCAAAAGCTATACAACACAGTAAAGAAGATCTAAATTATGGGACTTGGATTCTAGCTGGACTCTTCATCTTTCATCACCTTCATGGGGTCACTCATCAAAACAAATTGTCTCCACCTTTTTAAGATATCATTACCAACCCAAAAACAAAAACCAAACTAAAAAAATGTTTTCAAGATTCCTTTTTCAATACATATTTTCAAACCACTTTTAGGCTTAATCTTAATGATGTTTTACATATATTTCTTGTTTTTTTTTAATAGATTTATGGAAGGATTCTACAAAACATGTAACGACTATTTATCTACATGGGGAATTTGGGACGATATAGGTTGAGAATTGAGTTTATTCGATTAGGTTTTACGACCTCATTTCTAGACGAGATAAAATATCAATAATATTCCTAAATCTTCAACTTTACATCTCAAAAAACATCTCATTTAATTGATGCAAAGTTATTTTGAAGATCATTCTCACATATCAAACACAACAAAATCTTCACCCCCAAGGATCGAAAATCTATATGTATACACTTTAAATTTGAGTTTTTTCAGTTCTTCATTCCTAAAAATGTCTCTTCGGTTCAAGTCTTCCACACGATATCGATTCCTAGAAATTAAAGAGAACAAAAAAAGCAAATACCTCCTAGAACAATGTTATTTTAAGGAAATAATTTTTCAAAAGCAAATCGTAAGAATATAATCCAAAACACGAAAAAGTAACCATAAGAATCAAAAGTACATCAGAATATTTTTTGAATCATACATGAAGAATCAAAATCTTTACTTTTATCACCGAATTAATTATGATAGCCGGTGTGAGAGACACAAGGTTAAAACATGAACAGACATGAATTATATACCCAAAAAAAAAACATATATACAAATCTGCCAGCTTGGGATAAAATAAAAGGCACACTTCCAAATAAGGAAAGATAACAAATCATATTAAGAAATACTTGAATAAAAGAAAATCATGATTAATGGTGTTGCTTAACCCAAAACGATTGTAATTAATTTGAAAAGAATAATAATAATTAATAATAAAAACAGTGTTTGGGGTGACTAGGTTTAGGCCACAAATCACATGCCTAGGGCCAACAAAATGAGTTTGTCGGCAACTTTTTGAACCCTATTGTGTGTGTTAGGGCACATAACAAAGGTTACATGATAATGAAAAATATATTAAAAAACAAAGTTGAAAAACATGACAAGATGGATCATAAATTAAAAAAAAAAAGTTAAAAAAGGGTGGGAAATCATGATTTAAGAAGGTTGACTGGGTAAAAAGGCCAAAAGGATATGTGTGTGTTGATTCATTACAAAGCAACATAGAGAGATCCTCTCCATACAGGTGTTTGTTAAGTTTGATTAGATTCCTTAATTAATTATATAATAAAAAGTTTTCTTCTCTTTTATTTTAGACGGTGAAATGTCATTCATTCAAAAAGTACGTGAGAAACATACGTGGGAGGCTAAGTAAAAACACTCCAGTTCAAAGAGATGGTGAAAATGTCATAATTACAATAGAAGGTCGATATTGTGGACCAAGAAGAGGAAGCCGTTTTCATGTCCTCCCACAGATTTGTCACTGGTTTAAAAATGGCCAATTGTTTCTTTCTGGCCAGATATACCAAAGGATTGAACAAAAACGTTGTTACACCAAAGCACATTGAACAAAAGTTTTCTACTTTTTTAAATCTCTTGAATGTGGTTTTTTTTCTATCTTGTGCTGATCACCAATTTAGTTTTTTTTTCTTCTCTTTTATAAATATACAGTTAATTTTCTAATAATGATCAACATAGAGATATGTGTTTAGGCTATACAATCCACTCTTCTAACACGTGTAGAGACTTCAACCTCACCCGATTGAATAATTTTGGGTATTTGGGCTATATGAAATAACAAATTTCTCATAATTAACCGTTTGTTCTTACGCTCTCTCGTAACTTTATTCCCTATCTTTATTTGCATATAGATAGCCAAGGTGTTGATCCATCCAAAAGCAAAACGAGATGGGATGAAGACTTTTTCTTGGTGACCAATTGGCTCAAAAATCTCATATTATTTATTAAGCAAAGGCATTAATTAGGTAGGTAGAGGTTTAGGTTAAATCAAATTAAAAACACTTCAATTTCAACCCCATTGTAATGTGTCTCCTTATAGCCCATTTAGTGGGCCTCCAAATGCAAGTTTTAAACTCTCTCATATTTGGGGATGATTATGATTGCAGTCATATGGGGGTAGGGGCAGACTATACCAATTAGGCTTTCAATAACTTTTTCTTCAAGTTTCAATCTTTCAACTTTTTTTTCTTTTCTTCCCACAGTTTCAAAGGAAATGGTATAAGACAATAAGATTGGGATTTTGATATGAAAGAGAGAGAGGGATTTGGGATTTGGATTGGTTGGGCAGCTACCAGGAAATGTGGGGAACATATTCATGTAGAATTTGAAGACAGAAAATGAAAAACAAAAAAAAAAAAAGTTCAAATTTTTAAATGGAAAAGGAAGAGGAATTGGTATACTTTGTTTGTTAGCTTCAAATAACAACAGTTTTTAGAGCCATGCATGGTTTGGATTATTTTTGTCCAAAGTATATTCTACTTTCTCATTCCATCATTACATGTCAAATCCAAATAATATTCCATTTTGACTAGAGAGAGAAAAAGAGAGAGAGAGGTTTAACACTTATTTGAARCAATCCCAACTGTGGAAAATCAAGATTATTGTATCCTTCCTTTTATATGGTATTTGATTGATTCACCATATAAAATTCCATTGTGTTTCATGTCTCTTCCCTATTTTCATGACATGATGGTGGGCTATAAAGGAATTGACTCATCATGGAGTCTTGTGCAGTGCATTTGAATGGAATGCATTTCAAACTTTACCATATATATATCTTGTATTGTTTTATTTGTTGACTGAAATTTAGAGTAATATTGTGACTTGTTTTAATTTTCTCAACGGAAAATACTTTAATCGATGCAATGGTTAATTGAACTCATTCAACAACGGGTTGGATTAACTTTTAAGAGCAGACAATTCAATCCAAAAAATTGATCTATTTTTTCTTTTTGGCTAAACCAACGTATTGCTTTGGCATTATCTTTCACCTGAAATGGGGTCAAATCAACTTAGCTTAGGCTCCATATAAAGACCATTTGAAAATGACCTATGAGAAGTGTGGGAAATGAAGAAGCCTAGTAGTATAAAAAGCAATAATAATGAAGATGAATAATATGACACAGATCTTTGCAAAGATTTATAGAAATAAAAAAGAATACAAGAACAACAGATATGTATAATTTGGAAAGCAAAAGATATATATAAAAAATAAAAGGAAAAAAAAAAGGATTAGGAGGGGGAGAGTTGAAGATGTTTGGTCCCATTTGGAGAGAAATGAATCTAAAAGTGAGTGTCTTGTCTCCCTAAGATTGAACCCCATGAAGAATTGGAAAGTGATTTCCATAATTGTCTTTCTTTAACCATTTTTCTTTTGGCCCCCACTCCTCTTTCTC